CAACCCACGAGGATCGGTGAACCCGGACCTCATGAAGGCAACGATCAAGGCGAAGGCTGCTCGCGCGGATAGGGCTCCCATGTAGACGTTCTTCGCCACCCCGGGCGCGAAACTTAACCGGAGGGATGCAGTTGGCATCCTGAAGTTCCTGGTAAGCCCCAAGCCCACGTGTAGCTAGCAGCTGAGGGTTGGCTTGGACGGCCTGTCCTACTGCGAGCGCAACGGTGTCCACAGTGACCATCGTGCCGAGTGGGGCCTGGTCAAGACACGTTGCCGGGACATTATGGGGATAATCTTCGTGCGAGTCGTCCGTGCAGATGGCGTGGACTTCGAGACCTTCCTGGGGCTGCGCAGGAACGTCTTGCCGACGATGTTCCCGAATGCTGAGTTCGACGCGTTCTTGAACCGCGCAGGGGACTTCCTGGCGATCAAGGGCACGGTATCCACGCTCTGCTGCTGCTCCGACCTCGGCCCCCAGCTCTTCGGCAGCGTTGCGTCGCGCCTCGCGAACGCGGACGTGGCCAGGATCGCCCATTCCAACGTGACCCAGCTCAAGGATACAGCTATCACGGCGCAGGTCTTGGCTCAGAAGAAGGCTCAGTGTCTCGCAGTGATAGATCGCCTGCCCGGCATTGCCTCGCTCAAATCTTGCCGGGCCGTCATCTACAAGTATGCCGTCCACAACGCTCTCGAGCGCGAGGTGAGCAGCTTGCTGGATGAGGTGTCTTGGAAGTTCGCATGTCTGTAGAAGGCCTTGGCGGTCGTCAGTAAACAGTTGAAGACGTTCACGTTCGAGGAGCACGTCTGCCCAAAGATGGAAGCGCCTGGGGCTGGCACGGTAGCAGCTGAGCTCTGCGCCGCGCCCATCGTCGCCCGTGCCGCGCTGGGGCAGGTGTTGGAGAACGCTGACCTCGAGAACCATGCTGAGCTCGCATCCTTCGTCGCGTCCCGCTCGAACGCTAGTTTGACTACATATTTGGACTTCGGGGTCGAGATCGCGATCATGAGCTCGGGTGGCAACGTGGGCAAGGGTCTCTTGATAGCCCTCCTGCGCGATGCTATCGCGAACCGCTCTCCGTCCGACCTGCCTCGCGTCATTCCAGGCCATCATTGCCAAGCCAGAGTGCAAGTTCGCGGACTAGGCCATCCAGGTCCTGTTCGACATCCCGCGCAATATCGTCGGTAGCATCGTCGATGGCAGGGCCCCCGGGATCGACGGGGCTGCCCAATATGCGGACATGCTGAAAAACTTGCCCGCGCTCATTCCAGACTTCCTCGTGGTGGAGGCCCCGAAGGACGGCGGTGGCGAGGGGGGAGTTGCTGGAGCCAGGGCTTTGGCGGCGCCCTACCCGAAGGTGAAGACCAAGGTCGACGACAGAAAGGGGGCGGCGCTGGACATCGAGCCGTTCGTCGCGTACTCCTCCTACTCCTACTTGGCTGAGGTCTCTGACCAGATCAAGTATAAAACCATAGTGGACGTCGTCGGGGCAAGGGTCGGGGTGGCGGGCGCTGGAGGGAGGGCGTGTCTCGGGGGCGCCGTCGCTGCCGGCGCCGCGGCAGCGAGCAGCGCGGCGGCCGACGCCTCCAACCAGAGCGCGACGGATATGTTCACCTGGGCACAGGCTGGCGCCCAGAGTGCAGCGCGTGCCTCGTGGCTTCGCGCGGCACAGGGAGACGAGAACATGCCGGCCTTGGCCCTTGTGGGAACGAGGCTTGGGTGCTGCCTGGCGCGAGGCAGCCGCTCTGCAGTGCACGCTCGCCTGAGATGATCAGAGACGCAGAGTTGCTCGACGGCCAAGCGTCGAGCAATGCCTGTGCCGCCGAAGAAAAAGAACTACCCACGCGGTAAAGACGAACAAAGCGGTATAACGATCAACGAAGTAACGCAACCAATTCGATAACAAGGACGGACAAAGTGAGAATACAACGAGCATTTAAAAAGACATCAACGAAGGTCGTTGGGCGGCTGGTTGGTTGGGGAGGTGCCAACATCAACGAAATTTATGTCTTGGGAAATTTCGGAGAGTCTTCGGAAGTCTTGGGAAGTCGTGGGGCGTCTTGGGAAGTCTTGGAAAGTCTTGGGAAGTCTGGGCGTCTTGGGTGACTGGGGAAGTCTGGGGAATCTGGGGAAATCCTGGGATGTGTTGAGGAGGTCTGGGCGTCTTGGTTGTCTTGTGAAGTCTGGGGGGGGGGGGTCTTGGGAAGTCTTTTGAGGGTCTTGGGGAGTCTGGGCCTCTTTGGTGTCTTGGGAAGTCGAGCGGCTGGAACTTCGCGGCGAGGTGGGGACCCTGGCCCAGGCGGTGGCCGTTGGCCTTCTCGGCCTTCTCCGGCAGCAGAGCCGCGGGCTATTCCGCTGGGGGCTGGCAAGCACCCCGTCGAGCGCGAGCACGACGGGCTCGACTGCGTGGGCGCTGTTCGCGGGCGAGCCGCAGGACTCGGCCGGCGCTCCGGGCGCCCTTGCTCCGGCCTCTCCGCGGGTAGAGCCTGCGGGCTGGGGGGCCAGGGGCTGGCGGAGGGGCGCGGGCCCCCGGCCGCGGCCGTCGCGACCCCGCCGAGGGCGCAGGGCCGGGCGGCCCCAGCTGGGCCGGGGCCGGGCAAGCGGCGGCTCTGGGGTTATTTGCTGACGGCTGAGAAGGAGGCCGCGAGGCTCAGCGCCCCGCGGGAGGCGGCGACGCTGCCGGCAGAGGGGCCCGCGGGCCAGCGTAGGGGCCGCGGCGCGGCGGCAGCGCGCGCGGCCGCGGAGGCCGCTCAGGCGGCGGCCCTGGCAGACGCAGCGGCGGCCCGCGCGGCCGCGGAGGCCCGCGCCGCGGAGGCTGCGCGGGCGGCGGCCCTGGCCGCGGCCGCGGACGCAGCGGCCGAGGAGGCGACCGAGGCGGTGCGCGCGGAGGTCTACGCCGTCCTCCAGCGCGTCTGGGCCCCGGCCCGGGTCGCCGCCCGACACCTCGGCGTGACCGAAGCTGGCGCCTGCCCGCGGCCCGCGGCCAGATGGGCCGGCAGGTGTCGCGCCTGGCGGCGCCAGAGCTCCTCGGCCTCGCCGGGGTGCTGGGCGCCGCAGGCTAGCCGGCTGCGCGCGGCCGCAGCTGGCGCGTTCTGAGGCCAGCTGGCCGCGCGGGCCGGCGCGCCTCCCATGCTTTCCCTCCTCTCCCCCTCTCCCGCCCCCGCGCCTGTGTCTTTGTCGTGTCGTCGCTCGTCCCCGTCGTCGTGTCTTGTCGTCTCCTGACTCTTGCCACGGGGCTCCTCTTGCGTTTGTAAAAAGTGTTTGTATCTATGTGTGTATGAATGTGTGCATGTATGCATGTATGTACGTATGTGTGTATGTATGTTTGTCCGTATGGCTGTCTGTCTGTCTGTCTGTCTGACTGACTGTCTGTATGTATGTATGTATGTATGTATGTATGTATGAATGTTTGTATGTGTGCATGTGTGTAATTATGCATGTATGCATGAGTGCATGTATGCGCTTACGAACGTTTGCGTGCATGCATGTATGTATGTATGGATGTGTGCGTTTATGATTGCATGCGTGTGTGCATGCATTGATGCATGCATGTGTGTATGTATGTAGGTATGTATGTATGTAGGTCGGTATGTGTTTTCATGTGTGCACGAATGTATGCATGCATGCATGTACGTATGTTTGTAGGTATGAATGTATGTATGAGTTTATGAGGAACGCGGGCGTTCGCCTTGGGAACATCCGTCCGCGCGTTTGAGCCGTGACCCCCCCGCAAACATTCGGGGTTTTCGAACAGAGACAAGGAGACTCCTCTCCCCCCCCCCCGTCGCGTCGGCGCCGACGCGTCAGTGCCGGCGGCGGCGGCGGCAGCGGCTGCTGGCAGCGCCGACGGCGGACACGTGGCGACGAAAACCAGGATGAAAACGACAACGACCATGAGGTTCTTTACCCTCTATGTGTGAGCATGTGTGTATGTATATATATATATATATTCTTCGCGATGCGTCGCGTGCCTCGCGCGCTTTCCGTCGTTGTCGTCGTCGTCGTCGTCGTCGTCGTCGTGTTCGTCGCCGTCGCCGACGTCGTCGTCATCGTTGTCGTCGTCGGCGTCGTCGTTGTTGTCGTCATCGTCGTCATCGTCATGCTCGAAGACGTCGTGGTCGCCGTCGTGGGTGTCGTCGTCGCCGTCGCCGCCGTCGCCGTCGCTGTCGTCGCCGTCGTCGTCAACGTCGTCGTGGTCGCCGTCGCCGTCGCCCTCGTCGTCGTCGTAGTCGTACGTAGTCATCGTCGTCACGACCGCAATCGTCGTGGTCGCCGTTGTCGTCGTCGTCGCCGTCGTCGTCGTCGTCGTCGCCGTCGTTGTCATCGTGCTCGTCGTCGTCGCCGTCGTCGTCGTCGTCGCCGTCGTCGTCGTCGCCGTTGTCGTTGTCGTCGTCGTCGCCGTCGTCGACGTCACCGTCATATTCGTCGCCATCGTCGCCGTCGCCGTCGTCGCCGCCGTCGTCGCCGCCGTCGCCGTCGTCGTCGTCGCCGCCGCCGTCGTCGTCGTTTTCGTCGTCGTCGTGGTCACCGTCGTCGTCGTCGTCGTCGTCGCCGTCGTCGTCGTCGTTGTCGTCGTCGTTGTCTCCGTCGTTGCCGTCGTCATCGTTGTCGTCGTCGTCCCGTGAATGTGAATGTGAATGTGTATGTGTATGTGTATGTGTACGTGTACGTGTATGTGTATGTGTATGTGTATGTGTACGTGTACGTGTACGTGTATGTGTATGTGTATGTGTATTTGTATGTGTATGTGTAGGTGTACGTGTATGTGTACGTGTATGTGTATGCGTATGTGAATGTGCATGTCTATGTGAACGTGTATGTGTATCTGTGTGTCTGTGTATTTACATGTATGCACATGTAGCAGGACCATGGCTGAGACTCAGACCCCCCTGGTCCGGTCTGGTTCCTGGGGTCCAGCCGAGCCTCCCACAGTCCTCGGGCCAGCCAGTATGGCTCCCAAATAGCCGCAAAACGGCCAAATATGTCACCCAGACAGCGCAAGAGCCTTCCAAAATTGCCCTAGCCGCCCCAATATAGTTCCTAGACAGCCGAGGATGGCCCCCCTGCCAGTTTCAAGAGGGCCCAAGAGAGTTTCCCAGGAGGCCAGCAAGAGGCAACATATCATCCCGGCGAAGGGCCCAACCATCTACAGGCGAAAGTACCGCACCAAACGTGTGAGGGTTTGCCAACATGGGGCGGTGCTGCCACGCGGGCGCTGACACTAGCGCCTGTGGTGAGGCTCCCTGAGGGGCCACGAAATGTTTGAGCGGGGCTGCCACTGGGGCGTGAAGCTCCCTATGGCGCCACGAAGCGTGTGAGGAGACTGCCGAAGTGAGGCGGTGCCGCCATGCGATCCTGGCGTTTGGGCCTTAGCTGGAGCTCCCCATGGGGCCGCGAAGCGTGTGGGGTGTGTGCCGACATGGACATGCGGAAGGCAGAGTCGGGATGGGGTAGGAGGGGCAGTGGGAGGTGAGGACGCGGGGTGCTGCCTTTTCAAAACGGAGACCCCACACCACAGGATGGTTGGGAGCAATACTTGAATGCTGGTGTTTTCGTATGAGTTTACCTTGATTGCTTTTTCGGTCGCCCGAACGCCCCAGATGGCAAGAGGTCGTCCGTATTGCCCCAGACGGCCCACAACTGCCCCAAGAGGCCCCCGCGAACTGCACAAAACGGCCCAGGACGGGCCTACGACAACCCAAAAGGGTCTTACGACAGCCCAAGAGGGCCCTTCCGAGGACCTCGAGACGGCCGAAGACGGCCCATGGGCTGAATCGCAGAACGCTGTCTTGGTCGAGCCCTCATTATTTTCTCGAGCGCAGTCGCGCGAACTTTTCCGGGGCATGTACTGTGGACTTGTGTTGTTTTCGGCTCATTCGCCAATGGGGCGTCCCCCAGAGGGCCAGATCTGCAAACCAGCCTCAAGAGCCGTATCCTAGTCGCGGTTCAGCTCGGGTGCCCCTAGTGTGGGCCAGCCTTCTAAGTCTCGCCCGCTGCCCTGGTCCGCAGGTCCGCACGCGCTCTGCGCATCCCGTCTCTGCCCGAGTGATCACATATGTTCTTCTTAGCCTTCCTGCTTTTCTTTCTCCTCGTCCTCCTTGACCTCGCGCTGTGCGCATAATGCTCCAGCTGGCGCGGCTGGGGCAAGGCGCATTGTACGCAGGGGCCTTTCAATTAGACGCCAGCTGTCTCGATCCCCGTGGCCCAGCTCGTGCGTGTAGAGCACGCCACAATCAGGGCTGCTGCGGAGGCTTGATGCCTCCTGCCCTTCCAGTGGGGCCACTCCGGATTCGTTTTTAGACTTGTCCAGCCGTGTGCGTGTCCTATCCTTCTGCCACGTGGTTCGCTGGCGACACGGCGGCACCCCACAGCGGGGGCCGGCCCGACGTCTGCCCACGGCAAATGCAGCAGGCCGCCGCGAGGCGACCAGGATTGGTTTCGAGGGCCCGAGCTTCGACGCAGCTCGGGTGCTGGGTTCCGCAGTGGCCGTATGTTATGCCGTGACGTGATCGGCACGGCTTCCCCGATCAGGCCCGTGATCGCGTTTTCGAGAAGATGCAGCAACAGGGGCATGATCAGTCGTAATAGCAGTAGCAGTATATCGGCGGTTAGTTGTTAGCATCTCTAGCAGTTGTACAACAGCCAGCACAGGAGGAATCGAAGTAGCACCTTGTTCAGTAGCAGCAGCATTGCTCCACTAGCCGCATCACAACACGTGCATGAGTTCTGGACGCGTGCTGCCTTCACTTCTTCGCAGGCCGTCCACGCTGGAACAAGTGGCCGGCCAGGCGCATGCTTCTTTTCGGCAGAGTTCATCTGGCATTTGGGTGTCCGCGAGAGAGTAAACTTATGCTCTCGCCCCAGTGCCGCGCAAGTATTTTCTGAAGTTCCGCTCCCGCCCGTGCGTGGCCCGCGTATCTGTCCCTTCACCAAGTCGTCGGAAGCGGGACCGCGCGCGAGCGTCTTCCATCCGTCAGGTGGGAGCGCGTTCCCAGCATCAAGTTCTGCCACCACCTTTAATCTATCCAGTGGCGCGGCCGCGCGATTCCGCCACCGCGCTCGGGCGGGCGCCCGGGGGTGGGTGGGCGCCGGGGGGGGGTGCACTGAACGTCCCTCCCCCTACCTCGTATTTTGGTACATGTTCTGCCTGGACGGCCAGACACGCAGGGTCTTGGTCATACAAGTGAACGCATCTTGGGCTCGATGCGTCGGGCCCCAATGTATTGTTAAGCAAGGCTTGAGAGGGCCCGGCACACACCTCACACACCTCACACACCTTACACACACACCACACACACACCTCACACACACGCACACCACACACACACACACCACACACACCACACACCACACCTACTTACCTGCATACCTACCCACCTGCCTACCTAATTACTTACCTACCTACCGACCTACCTACCTATCTACCTACCTGCCTCCCTACCTACCTACCTACCTACCTACCTACCTACCTACTTACCGCTGCAAGCGCGGTGGCGGGTATGGTATGGGAGGAAGGGTCGGAACGGGCGGGCCCTCTGACTCGTTTGACCTGGCGCACTAGACTCCAATCCGCATGCCTCATTCGTAATACTTTTATTTTGTTACCTGGCCGGCCGATAGGGGCTCCATTCAGGAGGGTCCGTCCTACCTGTCGACAGCAAAACAACATCGGCGTGTAAGGTCCAACCATGGACATTGTTGTGCCCACGTTCCAAAGTGCCCGACTGGAATGGAACTAATGCATATCCCGCGCCCTTTTCTTGCCAATTCGTCGAATCGAGCGGGCGACACTGTCGCTCTCGCTTCGGCGCCGCGCAGGTTTGATTGTGGCGCTCAAGTCTGGGCGCGACACGTACTTCTCACTCGCCAAGTCGTTGGGGGTGGGGATCGCGCGCGAGCGGACGTCTCGTCGCCCTCACCCAAGCCTCGTGCATATTTCGCTTGGACGTGGGTTCCCGCGTGGGCTCGGCGCATGTTTCGTTCGCCGAGTCGCATGAGAGCTGCACCGGCTGTGGGGCCGCGCGAGAGCAAGCGCAATGCTGCTTTGGCCCAAGGGCTGCGCAGTTGGTGCGTGGAGTGGGGTACCATTTCTGCGCGCAGCATGCTTCGTCGCCGCCGCTTTGCCTGCCCAAGAGGGTGCTGAATTGTACTCCCGCCTGAGCGCCAGAAGGATTTTCAGAAGCTCCGCCCCCTGCCCGTGCGTGGCCCGCGTATTTGTCCGTTAACCCAGTCGTCGGAAGCGGGACCGCGCGCGAGCGCCTGCCGTTCGCTAGGTGGCGATTCGTTCCAATGTCCATCCCTAGTTGTGCCGCCATTGGTATTCCATGTTATGGGAGGAGGGTGGTGATGGGCGGGGCCAGCTGACTCGTTCGACCTAGCTGACTTGACTCCTGCTCCTGCTCCTAGCCGGTCGCCCACTACTATTCGTGATCCTTCTCACGTTAGTGCTTCGTCTCTTCTGCCAACCAGCAAGCCCTCTCCCGCCCGCAGCAGCACCGGCACGCCTGCCTCCGTCCCGGCGGCTGACCGCTGCCGTGGGTGGCGCGGGGCCGCCGACGAATCTGGTGCGCCCGCTTGCCGATGCGCTCCATCGCTGCGGCCGCCGCCTTGTGGAAGCACCGAAGCGCCTGTGCCGCTGACGTCTCGCTGCTTCATCGCCTCAATACCCTTTGTGGTCCGTTGCCGCTGCCCTCGTCGGCGTCGCCACCATCGACGCCGCCACCGTTGTGGTCCCGAGGATACTTGAATCTTGAAGTCAGACTCTTGTCCTGCGTCCTCTTCTTCGTCCTCCGTGCTCTTTTCCCCCCATGCCCGTGCTCTGTGCTCCTTATCGAAGACTCCTACAGCGAACCACCGCAGGTCCCTGCCTTTTGGAAGCGCCTTGGCGGCCACACGTAATGTCAGAGTCTGGCCAAGCTATTGGATTATGTGCTCCCCCAGCCGTTGCGTAAACCCTTGGGGGAACGCTTCGCTTAGGAAGACAAGGAGTAAGAGGAGGAGGAGGAGGAGGAGGAGGAGGAGGAGGAAGAGGAGGAATATTCACATGGCCTTTTTTTCTCCATTTCGGCATCGAACCTCTCGCCGTAGACCGAACCAATCCGAGGATGAGGATGAAGAGGAGGAGGATTAGGAGGAGGAGGAGGAGGTGGATGAGGATGAGGGAGGAGGAGAGGCCTGCGGTCTCTCCAGCCACCGTGCCTGGGTGTGGGTCAGAAGCCTTTTGGATGCGTATGATGGTCTCCTGGGATGCCTCTCGGGGGCCTTCTGCAGGGCTCCTGGGGGCCTCATGGGGACTCCTTGGCGCCTCTTCGGGCCTCTCGGGGGCGTCATGGGGGCCTCTCGGGAGCCTCGCAGGGGGTCTTGGAGCCACCTTGGGGTGGAAGGCTCGAAGTGTCGGTTCGTGTTCCCTCTCTTGGGGCCGTCTCGGAGGCCTCTGGGGGCCGCCTGGGCCGTCTTGTTGCCCTCTCGAGGGCCTCGTGTGCCGTCTTGTGGCGGTCTTTGGAGTTTGGGCCGTCCTAGGGCGCGTTGGAGGCCCGAAGCGGCGAGAACGCTAAAATCCTTGAACCACGGATTGCAACATAAACCTCTTGGGTCCCTCTTGGGTGGTCTCTTGGAGCCCTCTTGGGGTGTCTTGGGGGCCTCTTGGGTCGTCTTGGGACCATCTTGTGGGCCGCCTCGGTGTCCCCTTGGAGGCTTTCGTGTGCCGGTTTGTGGGCCTCTTGGGGCCTTCTTGGCCCGTTTCGGGAAAAGCTTTGCGACACACCCCAAGAGTCACGCGGAAAGGCAATCTGGGTTTCTGGGCCTCTCCATGTCAGTTTCGTGACGCTTCTCGTATCCCCACTAGCACCTCCTGGTCCCGTCCTGAGTTGTGGCGGTAGGCCTGCTTGTGCTAGGTAATTTAGGACCTCGCGCGGCCCGCTCGGACCTTGACACGCCGTCGGCGCGCTCGCCTGCGGCTGGCAACAACAAGTATCCCCACTAGCTCATCCAGAAACGATTCCCATGCGAGATGCCTTGATCAGGACAGTGTAGAAGCATGCAGTGAAACAAGTTTTGGATCAGCCTGATCATACTCATGACGAGGACGAGAACGATGCTAAGGAGGATAATGAGGAGGAGGATGAGGAGTAGGAGTATGAGGAGGAGGAGGAGGAGGATGAACAGGAGAAGGAGGAGGAGGAGGAGGCAGAAGAGGAGGACGAGGAGTGAGTAGCACACGGAGTAGGAGGACGAGGAACAGGAAGACGAGGATGAGGTGGACGAGGAGGGAGATGATGGCGAGGAGGAAGAGGGCGAATCTGCGGAGGAGAAAGGTGGACGAAGACTCTGGCACTCGTCTTGGAGTCTTCTGGGGGACCTCTTAGGGTCGTCTTGGGGCTCTCTCGCGGCGCTTTTGGGGCCCTGTGGGAGCTATTTTGGTGGGTCTTGGGGTCCTCTCGTGGCTTCGTTGCGGTGTCTAGGGCCCATCTTGGAGCTTCCTTGGGGCCCTCTTGGGAGCCTTGGAGGGTCGCTTGGGGGCCATCCCATAGGGCGTCGATCAAAAGAGGGAGGGCCCCCGAATTGTTTTCCCCCTCTGGATCATCAACATCGCCTCCTGGGGCCCTCTTGGGTGGTCTTGGGACCCTTTTTGGGACGCTCGTGTGGCTCTCTGTTGGGCCATCCTGGGGTCATCATGATGCCTCAATGTTGCATCGGAAGCGAAACGGCGAGAAGGCACCCATCATGGATATTCCTTAGGTTTTTGAAGGACATTGGCCTCTTGGGGAAGTTGTGAGGGAGCTCCGAGAGCACTTTAGCGGTCTTTTGGTCCTCTTGGGGCCTCTTGGAGGCATGCCAGAAGTCATCTTGAACAATCTTCAGCTATTTTGCTATTGTGGGGCCATTTTGGAGCATCGGTGACCCTCGTTGAGCCATCTTGGGCCATCTTCGGCGCTCTGACGGCTCGCGAACCCACCCAAAACAATTCAGTGGGGGAAGGACACCTTTTTCCGACGGGAAGAGGGTTTTGGAATAGGAAAATCTAAGATCGTTAGGCCACCTGCGCTCAGAGGACTGGCGGAATTTCGAGGGCTGAGGATTCAGGATTCTGGAGGACCTGAGAACAATCCACTCAGTGCCTCGCGGCACGACGGCGGATGTTTTCAGGCAGGATGTGTTTCGTGAGTTTTTGTTTCTGCTCACGTATCCAAGGGCTGCGCTGCCTTTGGGGAGTTCTCCTGCCATCCAAGCCCCCGAGGAGGTTTGTTCCTGGTCCTCTCTGGTGCACCCCTCACGCAAGGAACGCCTACAGGGCGCATACCTCGTGCACTCCCCATCCCGCGCACCTCCTACCTCCTTTACCCTCCTCCTCCCCTCCTCCCCGCTCCGCACTTCGAAGCCCGTGGCCAGGAAAGGGGGCAGGACGGAGTACATAGAAGGAGGCCCCCATGAGCGGACACAGCGCGGACTTCGGAACATTGGTTCTAGAAGACGGGCGTATCTCCGTTGCACGTGCGCATCCTTGGGAGTTCATTCAAAAACGTTTGGCGGGAGAAGACGTTGGCACCTTGGCGGAGGCTCTAATCACCTTACTCTGGGTATTTCGCCCACGACTGTGGTTGGAAGACAATGCAGAATTGGCCTGAGAAGCGCAGACACAAGGAGGGCTTGGCTCATGCATGCATTGGCCGCACAGTCGAGTGGGAGGACGTCTTGGTCATGGTGACCGGAGACTGTTGGCGTCATCGGCGGGCTGCAAAAACTTCGACGACTGGATGGCGTACTTCCCTTTCTTCCGTGACCACGTGTGAACAAAGAGTGGTTTATTCTTGTCGATTCCGGCCTGTGCAGACGCACAGGGCGAGCACCGACCGATTCTGCACAATACCCACCCACGGTTCAGAGGCTCTGGCGGTGAACTGGCAGAGTCCTACGAGGAGATAGCTCTTTGTCACAGATTGTTCGCCTTTTGCTGAAGTCGTGAATGGCACCGTTGTGTTGTCCACGCCTGATGTCGG